GACAACTAGGGCACGACTCCTCCCTGCTCGGTTCGATCGCAATAACGTCAACACTCCAGTAAGAGAAGTATGTGACCCCTCCTCCCTTCTCCAGTTTCTGCTCTTCGTCTCTACCTCTTCTTTAATTTCATCGTCTGATTCGTGTGGTTCGAAGTGAGACATTTATCTCTTAAGAAGTAATCATCTCGCAATCACAAGTGGTTGCATTTAGCATGAATTGTACAGACATGAGCAGGACGAGCATCGTTTAACGTCAGAGGGGGTTTCTTTAATTCTTCTTTCTCTCAATTAGAGGTAAATTTAACCTAGATTTCCGTTCAACAAATTGATAATCCTTAACCTATATTTTATTTTCATAGAGAATTTACCAGGAAGGAGAGAGTAAAAAAATAAGAGGAGATGCTATCATTTGTTCTAAGAAAATAGAAAGAACAAAAAATATTTGAGGTATGGATGTAAATGATATATTTGAAATCCAAATGACCGATTAAGTATCCTTATGCGCTAAATCAAAGAATAAAAACTTAATTAATTCGTAAGAGAAATGGCCAAGAAGAAAGTTCCCAAAGTGTAACCATTAATGGTTTCATTAGCTAAAATATTTCCATCCCTCTAAAAAATAAAGGGAAAAAAACTTGAAAACTATAGCCATTAAAATTTTGGGATAATTACATAAAGACCACCTGAATCATTGATATTTACAAATTAATCACCAGATGATTTTTTTTGAACTATCAAACCGATGTATTTACACTTGCCACGGTCAAACTATTAAGATTTTGATAAAAATAAAAAGGAAATTTTACATACATAGCACCCAATTCTTATGCATTTACTTATCTCAGACTTAAACTTTGATTTTTACATCTAAAGCAACTTACATATTGAAAAATTGCAATTCACCTTTTCATACATCCTTTCAAAAATAGGAAAAGGTGCTTAGCCTATAAAAATCAACGTTTGGGTGTGAGATAAGTAAATGCATAAGAATTGGGTGCTATGTATGTAAACTTCCGAAATGAAAAATATACCTTTGAGTTGTACCAAGAATCATAATATCTGAGTGAGAATTTGAAAATGGATGAAAGTGGGATGGTTGATTTGTAAACATGAAGTGTCAGGTGGTCTGTATGTAATTGCCACTAAATTTTTTTTAAAGGTCAATCAATGCAATTATGTCTCTTAATATAAGAATCAATGCAAAATAAGCAGTTAAAAATAAAAAAAGAAATTGTGAAAGCAATAAATAAATTTAATAAACCAACTTTCAAGCAATTTATTTGTCTCTATTTCAGGTTACTCAGAAAATAAATTTCAAAATAATTTACTTACTGGTGGTCCTTGCGGATAATTGTCGGGTAAATTAATATCAAAGAAAAAAAGGCCATGATAATAAGGTGTTCCAGGCTGCCCAGCAATTGATGCCCTCAAAAGATCAACGCGCTCCTCATAAACTCTAACATAAATACTTTCTGTGAAAGTGTAAAAAAAAAGAATTAGGGACCATAAACAATTGGCCAACATTAATAATAAATAATTATCAGATAACATCATCTGAAAGAAATTAAATGAATGTATAATATTATTCCACCTCCTTTCTGAAGTGGAGGATTTGTAGCCTAACAAATAAGTTATTTTGTTTCGTTTGTTTCACAAAATTGAACAAGTAGAGCTGAATTTGATTACATAAACCATGTTCTCTCTAGACCCAAATAATGTATTAGAATATCCCTACTAAAATTTATCACAATTATATGTAGCTTAGGGGCTATCTGGTCTGTAGCAAAAGGAATGCATTACATTATTTTGTAAAAGTTTTAAAATTCCAGGCATTCAGAGGGAAGAATTCCAGATACATTACAAAATTACAATGCATTTGAAATTTATTCTCAAGTTCAATTTCAATATATTTGAAGTTCGCTGGATTTGAGAAAACTCCAAATACACAGTTGTCCATTGCTGCCCGCCACTACCGCCTACTACTGATAACCGCTGCCTTCGCATGTTGAACACTACGAGAAGACATAGCACAATCAATAATGGACTCAATCTGAAAAGTCGCATCATTTTGGTGAAAATAAGTTCACATGAATGACCACAACCAGCCCAGAAAATGTATTAAATTATAGTACAACCTCTAAATGGAATTTTTATAAATAAGATGAGAAATTCACTTTTCATATTTCATGGATTGTGCTATTGCTCTAAGTGTCACGCACAGTACAACAAATTATTGACAACAATTTTGATCAAATTTACTTGGATAAATGTGTTTAACACTCAAGTTTATAGTCAAAGAATACTATGCAGAGTAAAAAATTAAAGTAATTTAAAAATGGGGCATTTACATACACAGCACACAACTTTTATGAATTTACGTATCTCACACCTAACCTTTCATATTTACACACAACAGTCAAATCTTTAGTATCATATATAAAATAAAATTATTTGTCACGATCCGACTCGGGGCTTAAAATTAATCAAGATGGGAACAAACGGTTTGACAAAGAAAATAAATTATCTTTTATTTTATTTCTATCAATAACAATTTGATATTAAAAAATTCAAGAAAGAGCCACTAACAAAAGTAATTAAAATTAACAAGTAGAAATTTATACCTTTCTGATTGTTGTGCATGCCACCTATACACATTTGATCATTTTCTACTCATCTTATTCAAAAGCATAAAACCTAAAAAAATATTAAAATAGCATATGAGTCCGATGAGTACTCATAAAACCTAAAAAAATATTAAAATAGCATATGAGTTATCTAAAGATAACCGATGAGTACTTTTAATTCTAAACTACAGTAATCCAAGGAAAAAAATTTAATATGCATGCTGATCTTTCATGTTTCTGTAAAAAATCTTGGAATATACTAATTTTTTCTATCTTTATAAGAAAACTTTGAATATACTTGTTGACCTCATTTTTAGTGAGGTCTTAGTTTCCTACTCCCATAACCCAAAATCTAGTCTTAGGAGTTCCTTGTTGACCATCTTAGCAGACTAGTAATGGAGCCCACCTCCGTAAAACTTCAAACCACTTCTTGACTCATTTTGCGAAGAACTCACATGAGTGGTTCCAAGCACTCAACTTCTAGTTGCAAATGCTAAGGACCAACATGTAGAGGGCCCGAATATGAGTTCCTACAGGATCAGATGACCTTAGATGAACCATCCGTGACTAAGCAATGCACTCTCTACAACACGCACGAAGTTGATACTTTTGGCCCGACCGTCGACGAACTTGTCTAAATGACCACGGTGATGAAACCGACCGCGTCAACACGTCCGGAGCATCAATTTTAGCCGGGAAGGACATCCATATTGCTAGGGTTACGTGTGCGGACAAATGACACGAATATTGATGCACATTTTTTTTAATTAGCGGGGCGCGGGCCCGAACTCAACCCAGGTTCAACTCAGGTTCGATTTGGGCTGGACTCAGGCTGAACAAGGGTTAAACAATTTTGAATTTTAATTTTTCAAATTTCAAATAGACATTTAATCTCATTTTAATTGAGAGTTAAAGATTTTCCTTTTGAAGTTGCTTCATCAACGGAAACTAATTAATTCCCCGCTAACAATTTTGAATTTTAATTTTTCAAATTTCAAATAAACATTTAATCTCACTTTAATTGAGAGTTAAAGATTTTCCTTTTGAATTTGCTTCATCAACGGAAACTAATTAATTCCCCGCCAATGCTTCGCATAACGGCTCCCTGCACATTTCGTTTATACAATTCAGCCTCTCCTCCCGCTCGCCGAGGACTCCTCTCTCCCGCTTGTCACTTGATTCATTCGGTCTCTCCTCTGCATGGAAGCTCCGCTCGGCTCTTCCTCCGCAACCAAAACCACCGCTCTCCTCCTCTCTACGACCAGAACCCTCGCACTCCTCTCCGAACCGAAGCCGCTCGCCTCTTGTCTCCTCACGCCAAACAGCCCGCAGCGCTCGCCTCCCTCTCTCGGCAGAAATCCAGCTCGACTCGTCTTCCCCCCGCCTCTGCACCGAGACAACTCGATTCGTCCCCTTCCTCCCGACAGAAGCCCTGCACAGAAAGCCTCGCCTACTTACCTGCTCGCTGAGTCGAACACCGCTCGACACCCTATCTGCCTCCCTCTTCCTCACGCAGAAGCTCTCCCGCTCCTTCTTCCTCTCTTGTCCAGAAGCCTTCGCTCACTCTCGCTCACCCTTGTCGGCTTCCTGCTCGTGTGCAACCGACTTCTCTTCCCCGCTCTCGACAAAATCTGCTCCAAACTCCCCTCGCCGAACCTCCAACAGCTGGAAGAGAGACAACAACTAGATTGCGGCTTACAAAGGAAACTAAAATCTCTTTGGTTGTTCCTACCCGAAACCATCAAGAAAAGTAATCCTCTTCTCTCAAATTCCTTTGCGCGTTTCAGAATCTTAATTCCCAAAACTCTATCTTTTAATGAGGGTATTTACTTTAATCCTGGGTTAAGGCAAGACACAGAAGACGCTAAAATTGGTTGAATTTGAAGTTGTTAGTTTTACTTTTTTGCAGGGTTAAGATAGTTTACGCGCATTCCATGCAGTGTCTCTTCTTCAATTAATCCTTCTGTATTTACACAATCAAAACCTAAGATTTTATATTTATAGCTGTATGACTTAATTCCTGTGCTTTTACACTTCTTTCATCTGAACTTTAATTTTTACATTCACGCCACCCTATCTATGCATGAAAGTGTATATTTTACATTTTAGAAGTTCGATTGGTAGCATTTTTGCTGTGGTATGAAAGATTTGGACGGTATATACACATGAAAGATTTGTGTGGCATAAATGTAAAAATTGATGTATGGGTGTGAAAATTCAGGAGATCTCACATGTATGCCACTTAACTGCTTACACATGTATGTGGGATTCAAATCCTACATAGCACATAACTCTGATGAACTTACTTATCTAGCACCTAAAGTTTGAGTACCATGTTGAGCTTTGGGGTAGCTTATGTTCTGGAATTGCTGGAGTTTTTTTTTTTAGTGATTCGGCCTATTGGTAGCTGTCGGGCTGCACTGTTTGGGCCTGTTTGGTGGCTACCGAGCTGCACTACTTGGGCTTGTTTGGTAAAGTTTTTTTTTGTTTTGTGGTTCCTTAAACTCATCGTCTTGAGGAAAGTTTCCATGCTTATTTTGAGATCCTTTCACCTGCTATACTTGATGATCTTGCTTGCTATGAGTAATGCCATTTCCATCTCATTATAGCTTTAGTATTGGCCCACAGTCCTCCACACGCATATCCATTTCTCATGCATGAGTGTGCCATTGGTTTCTCGGGAATAATATTTTCTATGATGGTTATAGAAACCAACCTGAGTGGCATACAAACTAGAGGCCTCTTTGAATTCTTCTTTGTGCATACTATTGGTTATAAAGATTTTAAAACAAGCTTACCCATTGTTGTTCATGCAATATAACCTTTAGCCAGTCATAAGAGGGGAATGCATCAAAGGGGCTTATTGTAAGGAAGATTTACGTATATACCACTCAATTGCCTCATACATTTACATAAATAGCAACTAAACTTAAATCTTATGTTGCCATGAGATGTTACAATTCATGTCAAACGATTCCTAAACATTTACATGTCTTACACCTGAACTTTACTTTTGTATTTATACAACCCAACATTCAAACTGTTTTGGATTCATTGCGGGTGTCAATTTGGGGCTATTTAAATGATGTTTTGGGGACTGTTTTGGGCTGATTTTGTTGCAATCTTGGAGCCGGTAGACTCCTTTTCTTGGGCTGATTACACACTGTTTGGGCATCATTTTAGGGTGCGTTTGTTGGCTGATTTGGAGAGGTTTGCACACTGTTTTGAGGCAAGTTTAAGGGCTGTTTTGAGATGTTTTGTGAGCTGATTTTGGAGCAGCTTGGGCACCGTTTCGACACTAATTTGGCACTGTTTTGGGTGCTTTTGCTGGTCGATTTGGGACAATTTATGTACAGTTTTGTGGTGCTTTTGTGAGCTGATCTTGGAGCCCTTAAACACTTATTTTGAAGCCTTTAAATGCACAGTTTTTGGGACTGTTAAGGGGCTTGTTTTGCTGCACTTTCTTGGGTCCATTTGGTGGTTTGTGGGTTGCACTTTTGGATTCAATTTTGTGGCTTTTTGGGCTGCACTTTTCCGAGTCTATCTTGTGGCTTTTGGATCTCATTTCTTTTTATGCTAAATTGGAGAACTTTCAGATCGATCAACACTGTCTTGGAATAGATTTAAGTTGATTCGGCCTATTGGTAGCTGTCAGGCTGCACTGTTTGGGCCTGTTTGGTGGCTGCCGAGCTGCACTACTTGGGCTTGTTTGGTGGCTGTCAAAGGGCTGGAAAGTTTTTTTTTGTTTTGTGGTTCCTTAAACTCATCGTCTTGAGGAAAGTTTCCATGCTTATTTTGAGATCCTTTCACATGCTATACTTGATGATCTTGCTTGCTATTAGTTGAAA